AGAGACACGCAGAACATGCAGGATTCATATTTAAATCGACTTTAGCGGCTTAATATTTACAAATACTAGTCCATATCGTGATTTGATTTAAGTGTAATGACCTACTTTTGATTAATTCATTAAAAATTTGACAAATTCCGTGACATTCCGCGTTAAACTCTGAATTCCGTTTTTATGACTGGATTCCGCGATTCTGTCCGCGTTTTCCGCATCGCAGAAATCATAGGGCCCTACATAAATCACTAGATTCTATTAGTCTACAAAAAAAATAATAATAAGAAATGGATTCTAATACATGAATCACTCTAGATTCTATTAGTCTACCAAAAAAACTAAACAGGGATACTAATCGAGTTCATGGATTGCTAAGATACCAATGGCATACTCTTATAATATGTGTCAAAATACATGGCACACAATTATACTGAAAAATAATTAAATAATATTAACCTAAACATGGTTGGTTTTGCTGTTGCATATCATAATGTTGCTGTTTACTGTTTGGAACAGAATTTATGACAAGTACAAGACTATGATGTCTTAAAATGCTGTCTAGGTAGTAGGGGTGTTAATTAATGATCAATCAATTGGTGCTAATAATTAAATTCACTTTAGTATGGATACAATTTGACCTGTTGACCTGCTCTCTTGATTGCTCGAGACAATAAAGGATAAACTAAACTAATAAACTAACCTTTGCAGTATAAATATTATTTGGAAATTTAAATTTTTTTTGTCATATGGTTGTCTGGGAGGTGACTTGTAATTGTATAAAATGAATGTTCTTCAACTGATTTTTATATAACATATAAATGTTTTATTCCTTTAAATATTTGTTGGATTTATTTATTTTTTTGTTCAGGTGAAGAAAGTTAATGGATCTCCCTTAAAAATGAAAAACTCCAGTACATCTAAGAAATGTGATGGGGAAAACATCCTCAGCCCCCCAAAATTAAATAAAAAGCGGGGAGACAAAAAATCCACTGACCCCAAAAAGAGCCGCAAGAGTGGGGTCACCAAAACTCCCAATGGCCAGAAGCTCTCCAAAAAGGAAGACAAAAGCGCTGGAAGCACCAAGAAACCCAAAATGAAGCAGATGACCCTTTTGGATCTTGCCAAAAGCCCACCTGCTGCAGCTAGCCCCAAAAAGCGAGGCAGAAGTCCAAGTACTGGCTCTGCTAAGCTGGGCAAACCTTTGGCGCCCATGGCCTTACATCTCCTTCGGTTTTACAAGGAGAATAAAGGCAAAGAAGACAAAAAGACAACTCTGTCCTCACTGGTGTCTAAGGCGGCAAAAACGCTGTCCACAGAGGATCGTGGCCGGCTTCCTGAGGAGCTGAAAGAGCTGGTGCAAAAACGCTGGGAACTGCTTGAGCAGAAACGCCGATGGGCCCTTATGACCGAGGAGGAGAAACAGGACGTTCTGCGGCAGAAGCGCCAGGAAATCAAGCAGAAGCTGCGTGAGAAAGCCAAAGAGCGGAGAGAGAAAGAAATGCAGATGAGACGGGAGATGTCACGCCGTTACGAAGACCAGGAGCTCGAAGGCAAGAGCTTGCCAACGTTCCGTTTGTTCGACATGCCCGAGGGGCTTCCCAACACCCTCTTTGGTGACATAGCCATGGTAGTTGAGTTCCTTCACTGCTACTCTGGCCTCCTGATGCCTGATGACCAGTATCCTATCACCTCTATCGCTCTGATGGAGGCTTTAGCTGGAGAGAAGGCAGGTTTCCTTTACTTGAACCGTGTGCTGGTGGTGCTGCTGCAAACACTTCTGCAAGATGAGCTGGCGGAAGGTTACAGTGAACTGGACATGCCGTTATCTGAGATTCCTCTGACCATGCACTCCGTATCCGAGCTGGTGCGCTTGTGTTTACGGCCAACGGATGCCCATGAGGAAGAGAGCGCCCGCGGCTCGGATGACTGGCAGCCTGGTGTGGGCTACGATGACGTGGTGAGCAGTGAGTTCTTGGAAAAGCTGGAGACGTCGGAGGTGTTTGAACTGAACTCTCAGGAGAAGGTCAGCCTGCTGGTGGCGCTGTGTCATCGTATCCTCATGACCTATTCAGTGGAAGATCACGTGGAGGCCACTCAGCAGCGATCGGCCGAGCTGTGGAGGGAGCGGCTTGCCACGCTTAAAGAAGTCAATGAACGTAAAAAGGCAGAGAAGCAGAAACGCAAAGAGCAGATGGAGGCAAACACCGATCCTAGCGGAGAGGTACTAATGAGGGCAGATGGGAGGAAAGATTCAAATGTGATAAAAGAGACACCTAAGGTCCCCGCCAAAGTGGAACCAGAGCCGGAGGACATGATCAGCACAGTGAAAAGCAGACGTCTGATGTCCATTCAGGCCAAGAAAGAAAAGGAAGAGCAGGAACGGCAAAACAAAGGTGAGAGACGTGTAAAAGAAAAATCAGAATGCTAGAAACTAGGTTAAAAAAAACTGGTTGAAAGTGAGAATGAAGTGGTATTCCAGAAACCTGCAAAGAGTAAAGGAGAAAAATTATAACTTTAAGAGGTGTCAGAAATGTTTTTTTTCCCCCCTTCTTAGAAAATAACCTGACTGTTTCCTCATTTTGGAGTAAAATGGGTTGTGAAAGCAGTTTCATGCTGCGCTTTAACATTTACACTACTAAAATCCAAGTACATTTGTTCAGGAAAGGCACTTTAAATTCATTAAAGTTGATTAAACTGAGCAAATGGATTGAACTTTCTACCCATCAAAGAATCCTGAAAAAGTGCATCATGTTTCCTGAAAAATATTTAACAGCACAACTGATAATGATAAGATAATAAGAAACATTTTTTGAGCATCAAATCAGAATATTAGAAAGATTCATGATCATGTGACACTGAAGACTGGAATAATAGCTGCTGAAAATGTAGGTTTGCCATTACAGGAATAAATAAGTTATTTTAAAATATAATAAGAAAAAAAATATTTTTAAATTATTTGATTTCACAGTACTACAGTTTTTATTGGGTTGTTTCTAATATTCAAATAAATGTAGCCTTGGAGAGCATAAAGGACTTTCAAAAACATAAAAAATCTTATCAACATCAAATGTTTGAATGGTAGCGTTTGTAACTTTTGCTTTAGTGAATACTTTATTCCATAAGGTAAGGAAATTCACTTTACAATTAATATGAAGTAACTTTGACCTTGTCTACACTGGACAAGTGTGTGCCGAGTAGTTTCAAAATATTTAAAATGCACCAAGTAAAAAACCTTAGAGCTGCATAATGGAACTGCAGGAGTTGCATATCATGATGGAAAACATGAAATAAGATTACAAATTTTATTTTAAACTGTTATATATGCATCTGCTGCAGAGCGTATGGAGAAGGAAGTGGAGGAGGAGCGAATCAGGAAGCAGAAAGCCGCAGCAGAGAAAGCCTTGCAGGATGCCGTCACTAAAGCAAAGCTGGTGCTGAGGAGAACACCACTGGGTACCGACCGCAATCACAACCGGTACTGGCTGTTCTCTGATGTGGTTCCTGGCCTGTGTATTGAAAAGGGATGGGTTCATGAGAGTATAGACTACACATTCACTCTTCCTCCTGAAGAGGAGCCGGTGTCGACAGAGGAAGACAAAGAGGAGGAGACGGAAGGTTAGTCTACCTACACATTTTCTAAAATACTGAATTTTTGTATTTTGTTTTGTAATAGTAGGGCCAAATTAACATGTACAAGATATTAACAATACTTCTTGGAAGAGTTTAAACATTGGCCACGTAAAATTGTTAATTTGCTATGCTGACTTTTCTGTTAAAGTACTAAATCTGTTGTTCACAGAAGCAACTCTTTTTGTTGGTACAAACAGTTCTTTGGTTCTTGGTACAAGCTTTAATTTAACCAGTGGAATATATAATTTATAGATAAAATGCTGTTATTTACAGAAAAAAAAAAAAAATGTTTAAATGTGTGTTCAGATGGAGAGAAAGAGGATGAAGGCAGCATAGTCAGCGCTTCTAATGAAAATGGTCAACAGGGGGCACCAGTGCTTGAGTCCTGTATTGAGACCACTGTGCCCAAACAAGGCCAAAACCTCTGGTAAGTGTTCTTGCAAATTCCCAGTTGTATCGTTGGCATCTGGGAAATCAGCCTTTAAGTAATTTGTGGCTCCGAGCTCTTTTTGTATGAGACTATGCATTGTTTTGTAGCAAAGAATTCCAAAAAGAAAAATGGGCTAAAATGAGTTGTAATGAAGATTTACAGTCCCATGGATCAGGACATGGCATGACATCTGTCTGGACATCAGTATTGGGCAGCAACACAAATGCTTGTTCTTAAATTGTTTTCCCAGGTTTGTGTGCGATTCGCAAAAAGACCTCGATGAACTAATAGAAAGTCTTCACCCTCAGGGAGTAAGAGAGAGTGAACTCAAACTCAGGCTCCAGGTTAAGTGAGTATACACGCACTCTTCTCCTCCTTTCCTGAAAATTGATATTTTCACACCTTACTTGCTTTCAATCCCAGGAAAATGGATTAATAATGAAGATGTTGTCTTTATTTTAGTTACCAGGAAATCTTGCATTCCATCCATCTGACGAAAAAAGGTAACCCAGGCCTGAAGACCTGTGACGGATACCAGGAGCTGCTTAAATTCTTGCGCAGTGACATTATCGAGGTAGCATCTCGTCTGCAGAAAGGAGGCCTTGGATACATGGAGGACACATCTGAATTTGAAGAAAGGGTGAGAGACATTAAGACTACATGGTGTGGGCACTATAACCAATATCTTTTTTCACGGTATGGTAATGGTGCACGTTACTCGGCAGCCAGCTACATGGATATCTCCACCACTTTAAACCTACCTGACCTCTCACTTGTGCTTTCAGGTGCGTGACTTGGAGAAGTTGCAGGACTTTGGGGAGTGTGTGATCACACTGCAAGAGAGCGTGATCAAGAAGTTTCTGCAGGGCTTCATGGCACCCAAACAGAAGAAGAAAAAGAAGACCGGTGGAGAGGAGAGCACGACGGTGGAGGAAGTGGATGATCAGAAGAGACTGGCTGAAGAGGCCAGGGTGAGTGTGTTATGAATAGGGTTATTAACATTGCAGTAGCTTATTTCATGATTCTCAATACCATAGCCAAAAATATATAATATTAGTTTTATTTAAAAATTAAATGACTAAATAATAACAAATTAAAACAATGGCATGTATTCTTCATGACCTAGTGAAGTGAACATTGTAGCATTGTAGGCACTGAATGAACAAGCAGAAATAAAGGGAAAAGAAACAAATTTGTCTTCATTAGTACTTGGCAAAAACATGAGAAGATGAAACAAGATGAGAAAACGGACATTGAGGCTGCATTTAATTTATTAGAAAAGTCATTGTTTTTGTGGAAACTGATTATATATATTTTCAGGATTCTTTGAAATAGAAAATTCAAAACAACAGCATTTATTTAAATAGATTTTTTGTAAAAGTCTTTACTCCTACTGATCAGTTTAATGCATCCTTGCCAGAGAAAGTGAGTGGAGTGGATCGGCAACAATTTCCTTTCTGCGCTCCAAGCATTCAATAATCACTCCTCTCCACTGACCATTTCCCGCTCACTTCTCGCTTGTTAACAGAAATGCTGCTTCGCCTTCACTGCATAACGAAATCTGCGCTAATAGCTGCTTCACTCTAAAATGATGTCAGTATCTTTGAAATATCACAAGTTCTAACAAGAACATACACTTACAAGACAAATAAATACACAATTCTAGAAGAAAAGCTTCAACGTGGTTTATTAGAATGCTTACACTAAGCAAAAATCTATAGGGCTATTAACTGATTGTTTAGCTCACTTTTGAAAGGAAAAAGAATCTAGTGTTAAGCTATATTATTGAGAAATGAGTAGGCCTATGCTCACATACTTGCTGAATAAAAGTAATAATTCCTTTCTGAGCCCAGACTTTTGAAGGGTAGTGTATGTGTGTATTCACATTCTCACACAAGACTAAACTTCTGCATATTGAATTTCTAGGTAGCAACCGCGGTGGAGAAGTGGAAAACTGCAGTCCGTGAAGCTCAGACTTGCTCTCGTATGCACGTTCTGCTCGGCATGCTGGATGCCTGCATCAAGTGGGATATGTCTGCAGAGAACGCTCGCTGTAAAGTGTGCCGCCGGAAAGGTGAGATACCTGAAGATCAACCTCAAAAGCATTATTTGATGTGTGCATTTTAGAGGCTTTAGAGTGTGTTTTATACAGTGGCAAAAGTCTGGACATGATAGTCTGCAACACTATGAAATGACACATTGCAACTTTGTATTATGTAGTGACCAAAAAATTTATTTTAAGTTGTTGCCACCCTTTGTCTAGATTCCAACTCTGCACACTCTGGACATTCATTCAACACACTTTTTGGGCTGCATCCTGGGATGCTTTTTATACCACATTGAGCAAGTTCACATGTGTGCTGAACACTTGATGACTGCTTCTCTATCCAGTTCAATTAATCAAGCATTTCTTTTTATTCATTATAATGTTGGCAGTTTATATTGGTCTATAAAACATTTCAAGTGTGTTCTAACTACCGAATGGTCATGGTCAGGTCATGTTTCACATTAATTGCCTAGACCAGGGGTGCCGAAACTCGGTCCTGGAGGGCCGGTGTCCTGCAGAGTTTAGCTCCAACCCCAATTAAACACACCTGAACCAGCTAATCAAGCTCTTATAGGCATACTAGAAACTTACCAGCAGGTGTGTTGAGGCAAGTTGGAGCTAAACTCTGCAGGACACCGGCCCTCCAGGACCGAGTTTGGGCACCCCTGACCTAGACTGTAGCGGCCTTCCACAGTTTTGTAATTGAAAATATACATTTCTCAGTCTCTCAGATTGATGCATTAAACTTCAAAATGTATTCCAAGGTCCACCTACCATAGTCTCTTAAAAACATGGGAAACACTACTGCATGTGAAACACATGACCTTCAGACTCCGAGAGTAGTTACACCTTTAGAGAATGAAATATAGAGTGAAACACACAAGGGACTGAATGACCATCAAAGAGAGAATGTCTGAGATTTAAACTGCACCTGTTGCTGTAATGTGAGCAGCACACAAAAGGAAGTACTGCGTGGTAACAGGAAGATTTAACATGTAATTGATCTGGTTTATGATTGTCTTTCTCTGTAGGAGAGGATGATAAGTTGATTCTCTGTGATGAGTGTAATAAAGCCTTCCATCTGTTCTGTCTGCGGCCGGCACTGTACCGTATACCGGCGGGTGAGTGGCTCTGCCCAGCCTGTCAGCCAACTACCGCCCGACGCAGCTCCAGGGGCAGGTAAGAACATGCACACGTTGGGCCTACTTCTTTAAACGTTTGTAAATTTGAGTAAATTGAGGTTTATATATATATATATATTTATTTATTTATTTATTTTATTTATTTATTATTATTTTATATATATATATATAATATGCTCAAAGTTCCTCATAATTCATTTACACATTTCTGATTGCAGAAACTATAATGAGGACACAGAGGAAGAGGAGGACTCGGAGGAGGAAGATGAAGAAGACTCTGAAGAGGAAGATTCAGAAGAAGAATACAGGGACACGGGCCACAGCTGTGAGTGCCACTCTGAGAGCTTTGAAATCTGAACGACTTTTTCATCAGGGGGTGGGGGAATTTTTTTTTTCTTCAAGAATATTTTAAGAGAAAAAAAGGTCAGCTACCTTGTTTGTCAAATGTATTGTAGAATCATGATATGCTTAAGGGTTTGAAACTTTGTCTTAAAAGTTTCTGCACAAACTCTAGTTTTGACTGTTGGTTTGGATGTCACAGTGAGACCTAGGAAGAAGGTGAAGTCATCTTTGAAGCCCAAAGTGCAGAGTAAACCGCCACAGAAGAAGCATTCCTCTCCTAGTGCCAAACCAGCTCTCAGACCTGCTTCCAAGCCTGATCCAAAACCTGAACTCAGATCTGCTTCCAGACCAGATCCAAAGCCTGCTCTCAGATCTGCTTCCAGACCAGATCTTAGACCTGCTCCCAGACCTGTTTCCAACCCAGATCCTAAACCAGAACCTAAACCTTCTCCCAAACCTGCTTCTAAACCAGATCTCAAACCTGCTTCCAAACCGGATCTTAAACCTACTCCCAAACAATTGCCTAAATCACGACCTGCACCAAGCAACCCTGCAGACATCGATGAGCTGGTGAGTAAAACAAGATATGTGGAAGTACTGTTCTCATGCACAACATTGTACTGTTTGCAGTAAATTAGCTTGTTTAATTATTTAACCATATTGTTTAGGTTTTGATGAATGTTGGGTTAAAGGGTCATGAATCCCCAGACTACTTTTTCAGAGATTTTAGCAGAGGTGTTTGTGTTGCACATCATAGAACACCATGTTAACATCTGTTAATTTTAATTGTTGGAGAAAACTGGTTAATTTTGAGCTTTTTTGCGCTATTCTCATCTTCTGGGTTTAAAATCTACATTGTGTTGACATCACAATTTGTGACGTGGCAAAGGACGATAGTACATCGATGACGCGTCGGTGTCTATTAAATTATTCATGAGACTGCGTGTTCTTATCCTATGAGAAGACGCTTCGCTTAATCATTCACAATAGCATGTGTTGATTTGCTATGACAGACGCTTCAGACTGAGACCGTGCACATTAACTGAGAGAAACGTTCATGGATCGAAGGAGAGCGTTTGTTTTTGTAATAAGAGTTCGGAACAAACGCGATTCATTCTCTTAGCGAGTATAATTGTTTTTACAGCTCCATGACACAACCCGTCAAAAGACTTATATAAACGCCACAGAATAAGCCTTAAAAGTTCTCAGAGGTGCAACAGCGTGTTCATATACATGTTTTCGATGCAGAGTGCAAATGGCTGTGCATTTATTTGTGTTTTTAACTCGATGCGAGTAAAATGAAACCGTCTGAACCCGAAGCTGTGTTGTGTCTCACCTCTTCCCCCTCTGCTCCGCAGCGCATCACGCCCACTTTTTTTAGCGTTTTTTAAAACTGTGCTGAGTAGAGCCTGACCGATATATCGTTTAGCCGATATTATCGGCCGATATGAGCCTGTCGCCGATATATCGGTATCGGCGAATATGAAAATATATTTTTTTTTACAGAACATATAACGCAGATTAAATGCTTCTGAATGGTGTAATTACTTCGTTTGTCCAGCAGAGCACGCTCCATTGTTTGCTACTGGTGACCCAGGTCAGTGTAGTGTAGAGATGCGCGGATGAGCTCAAACTTCACCCGAGTCCGCTGCTTCAAATTATCTGCCCGCCACCCACCCGCACCTATGTTTGATCGTCACATTACAATGATTCTAATTCTTAGTTTTGCATGATGATATGATGAATGGATGGCTCATTTTTAACAGCAGATTCAGTGACGTTAGAGACTAGAGCTGATCTGCGCATCACGGCACGCGTCTGCAGCGCATTAAACCCTCTGTTACAGCCACCGGAGCTGATCGCGGCTGGACTGGTGATTATACTTTATACTTAAACTCATGCTTATCACATCACATCGCGCGACGCGAGTCCGGTGTATGTTGTCTACTCTGGATGCAGTAAACTGATGCCTCGTTCTATTTATGACGTGCTGACGCAAAGTTCAAATGATTTTCAACGGTCGCTTTGTCGCGTCCTGTTGCAGCGCAGACACGGTGTCAGCATAGTTTGTCAGTACAGTCAGTAAC